AAGGAGCCATAGGACTACAGTGAATTCTCGGCAGAAAACTCTTACAGCCAGTGGAAGGTGGAGGCAATATTCAACATCTTAAAGGAAAAAGAATTTCAACCCAGGAATTTCATATTCCAGGCAAACTAGACTTTTACGCTGTTGGTGGGACTGTAAACTAGTTCAACCATTGTGGAAGACAGTGTGGCGATTCCTCAAGGATCTAGAACTAGAAATACCATTTGAACCCAGCCATCCCATTACTTGCATATACCCAAAGGATTATAAATCATGCTGCTATAAAGATACACGCACATGTATGTTTATTGTGGCACTATTCACAATAGCAAAGACTTGGAACCAACCCAAATGCCCATCAATGATAAACTGGATTAAGAAACTGTGGCACATATACACCATGGAATACTATGCAGCCATAAAAAAGGATGAGTTCATGTCTTTTGTAGGGACATGGATGCAGCTGGAAACCATCATTCTGAGCAAACTATCGCAAGGACAGAAAACCAAACAATGCATGTTCTCATTCATAGGTGGGAAATGAACAATGAGAATACTTGGACACATGAAGGGGAACATCACACACCGGGGCCTGTTGTGGGGTAGGGAGAGCGGGGAGGGATAGCATTAGGAGATATACCTAATGTAAATGACGAGTTAATGGGTGCAGTGCACCGTCATGGCACATGTATTCCTATGTAACAAACCTGCACATTGTGCACATGTACTCTAGAACTTAAAGTACTAAAAAAAAAATTAAATAAAAAAAAGGAAGTTTCTTGGTCAATGAGGAAATTCCAAGGAGTCTCCAGCTGCTCTTGGGAGGGGGAGGAACAAAACGACGTTAGTAAGACCTTGATTCTAAGGCTACTTTTTCAGGCCTTTCAATTTTCAGAAGTGCTCAAAATGCCAAAACATCATATTTTGGGGAATCATTTCCTGCAACCCCACATTTCCCTCTCTGAAACATCCCTAGTCGTTTCACACACCAAAAGCTGAGTTGTTGGCTGTGGAGAGAAAAACTGAGTGAATAGTGGAGTGGCAAGGGATCCTATTAAATCAGTCTCTCATTTCTGGAAATAGGCCAGTCCAAGTAACCAGGTGTGTCTCATTTTGTCAGAGGTATTTGAACCAGAGTGACTCCATCTTGAGTAGGGGCTGTGTAAAATAAGGCTGATACCCTGCTGAGCCACATTCCCAGGAGGTTAGGTATCCTTAGCCACAGGATGAAATAGGTCAGAAGGACTGGTTTTACAAGATACAGGTCATGAAGACCCTGCTGATAAAGCAGGATGTGGTAAAAAAGCTGGCCAAAACCCACCAAATATAAGATGGTGAGGAAGGTGACCCCTGGTCATCCTCAGTGCTTGTTATATGCTAACTATGATGTATTAGCATGCTAAAAGACACTCCCACCAGCACCCCGACTGTTAACAAATGCCATAGCAACATCCAGAAGTTACCCTATATGTCTAAAAAGGGGGGAACCCTCAGTTCTGGGAATGGCCTCCTCCTTTTTCAGAAAACTCATGAGTAGTCAACCCTTTGTTTAGCATATAATCAAGAAATAACCACAAAAATAGCTAACCAGCAGCCCTTGGGGCTGCTCTGCCTTTGGAGCAGCCCATTCTTTTTTAATTTACTTCTCTAATCAACTTGCTTTCACTTTCCTCCATGGACTTGTTACTGGTGGCGAATCCTTATGCGTCTGCAGCAACCTCAATTCTTGCCTCCTCAGAAGAAAGAATTTGACTGAGGGGCATAAAGGCAGAAGGAGAGACTGAGGTAAGTTTGAGAGGAGGAGTGAAAGTTTATTAAAAAGCTTTAGAGCAGAAGGTTGGGCACAGTGGTTCATGCCTCCCAAAGTGCCTGGAATTGCAGCAGTTTGGGAGGTCAAGGCGGGCCGATCACTTGAGGTCAGGAGTTCAAGATCAGCCTGGCCAACATTGGTCGCAGCCAGTGACAAGGAAAGGCAGTCTCTCAATAGATAGAAAAAGCCTGAAGCCAATAAAAGAAACTCCGTCTCTACTAAAAATACAAAAATTAGCCAGTTGTGCACCTGCAGTCCCAGCTGCTCAGGAGGCTGAGGCAGGAGAATTGCTTAAACCAGGGAGGTAGAGACTGCAGTGAGCTGAGGTCATGCCACTGCACTCCAGCCTGGGCAACAGAGTGAGACTCCATCTCAAAAAAGAAAACATACATAAATAAAACTTTAGAGCAGGAATGAAAGGTAGTAAAGTACTCTTGGAAGGGGGTCAAGAGGGTGACTTGAGAGATCAAGTGCCTGCTTTGATCTTTTGACTTGGGGTTTTATAAGTTGACATCTTTCAAGGTTCCTGCCTTACTTCTTCCCGGGTTCTTCCCTTGGGGTGAGCTGTCCGCATGCATAGTGGCCTGCTAGCGCTTGGGAGAGGCCGCATGAGCAGTGTGTGTACTGGAGTTGTACGCATGCTCACTTGAGACATTCTTCCATTACCAAATGCTCCTAGGTCATATACCAGTTAAACTCTGCTATTTGGCCTTTTAGTGCGCATGCTTGAGCCCACTTGACCAACTCCTGAGATCTTAATGGGGAGTTGCTGATCACCAGCTTAACGTTTTTTTTAATCTGTTGGGAGACTGCCTTTTTCTGGCACTGGCTGTGAGCAATTATTATTTGAGAGAGACAGTTAACAACTGCTTGATGATCACCTGATGGTCGCCTGACATTCCTGGTTGGGGTGGCCCTCTCCTGCTCTGCTCATGTCTGACTAGCTGCCTACAGTAACAGACACCCTGAATTATTTCTTGCATGAGGTCCAAGAACTCTCTCGATGCCTGAATTGGGACCCCTTTCCAGTAACAATTTTAGGAGATGGCATTGCAGACAGGCTGTCAAACAGAAGAAAAACAAAGGATAATGTTTGGTTTGTTGAAAATGCCTGGAAAGAAAAAAAAAAAGGTTAATGTTTGGAACAGTCTATATACCAGTTTTTTTAGAGTGTGGAGGGCAGTCGAGATGTCTAGATGTTAGAGTCGAAGCATCTTCAGTTAAAGTGGAAGTGGGCAGTGGCAATCGGACAGATTTTTCTGTTGTTTGCATGTCACAAGGTTGTTTACACAACCTTCAGCTTGCAGGGCATCAGGGAAAAGGTAATCACAATTTTAGTGAATTTAAGTCAGAAAAATGAAGGAAAAATTTGGAAATGTTAGTTTGGAGACTTGTAGCCAGGAAAGAATTCAGAATTTTGTCCAAATTGCAGACAAAGAATAAAATCTCAAAAACAATGGTAGGGCTAGAATCTTTTTTTTTTTTTTTTTTTTTTGAGACAGGGTCCCATGCTGTTGCCCAGGCTGGAGTGCAGTGGTATAGTCATGGCTCACTGCAGCCTCCACCTCCTGGGGCTCAGGTGATCCTCCCATCTCAGTCTGTCAAGTAGCTGGGAATACAGATGCATGCTGCTACACCTGGCTAATTAAAAAAAATATATTTTTGTAGAGATGGGGTTTCACCATGTTGCCCAAGCTGGTCTTGAACTCCTGGGTTTAAGTGATCTACCTACCTTGGCCGCCAAAGTGCTGGAATTACAGGTGTGAATCACTGTGCCCAGCCTAGGGCTAGAATCTAATAGCAGGTGTACTATAATTTTCTTCTGAAACACAACTTTTTTTCTCTCCAATCTTTCTTTCTACCAAAGATAAATTATAGTAAGACCAATTTACTTGCAAAATAAGTTTTACTCCTATTATACTTGGCCTGATTATTTGCACAAAATGCAGTAAGAATAGTGATTGGCTCTATAGGCTCTTTTAAACTTGGCTTTTGTTGATGAAAAGAGTTAAACTCTGTAAAATGTTTGAAGAGATTTATTCTGAGCCAAATATTAGTAACTATGGCTCATGACATAGCTGCAGGAGATCCTGAAAGCATGTGTCTAAGGTAGTCATGCTACAGTTTGGTTGTATACATTTTTTTTTTAGACAGAGTTTCACTCTTGTTGCCCAGGGTGGAGTGCAATGGCGCGATCTTGGCTCACCGCAACCTCTGCCTCCTGGGTTCAAGCAATTCTCCTGCCTCAGCCTCCTGAGTAGCTGGGATTAGAGGCATGCACCACCACACCCAGCTAATTTTGTATTTTTAGTACAGACGGGGTTTCTTCATGTTGGTCAGGCTGGTCTCGAACTCCCAACTTCAGGTGATCCACCCACCTTGGCCTCCCAAAGTGCTGGGATTACAGGTGTGAGCTACCACGCCTGGACATACATTTTAGGGAGACATAAAACACCAATCAGTACATCCAAGATGTACATTAGTTTGGTCCAGAAATATGGGACAACTCAAAGCGGGGACTTCCAGGTCATAGGTGGATTAAAAAAGAGTTTATCGGCAGGGTGTGGTGGCGGGCGCCTGTAGTCCCAGCTACTCAGGAGGCTGAGGCAGGAGAATGGCATGAACCCGGGAGGCGGAGCTTGCAGTGAGCTGAGATCGTGCCGCTGCACTCCAGCCTGGGCGACAGAGTGAGACTCCGTCTCAAAACAAACAAACAAACAAACAAACAAACAAACACGAAATTCAGTCGACTGGAAAAAATTCCCAGAAACAGGATCCAAAAGAGAAAAAGCAGAAAAAGATAAAGAAAAAGCTTTTTTTTTTTTTTTTTTTGAGACAGGGTCTCCCTTTGTCACCCCGGCTGGAGTACAGTGGCACAATCACAGCTTACTGCAGCCTCAACCTTCCAGGCTTAAGTGATCCTCCCACCTCAGCCTCTCAAGTAGCTGGGACCACAGGTACGTGTCACAACACTGGGCTCATTTTTTATTTTTTGTGGAAATGGGATTTCACTATGGTGCCCAGACTGATCTTGAACTACTGGCCTCAAGTGATCCTCCCAACTCGGCCTCCCAAAGTGCTGGGATTATAGGTGTGAGCCACTGCACCTGGCCAGTTTTCGTTTTTCAAAATAAAAAAAAGAAAAAAAGAAAAAACAGAAAACAAAAACATTATAGTCTAAATATCAGCTTTTGATTAAGCTGACTTCTGAATGACCATAAAGATTAAAAAAAATACATTTTCAAATCCCTTACTATCAGATTTTATCCAGGACAAATAGCCAATATTCCTGGCTTTTGAACTTTTTACCAAAGATATCTTCCAAGAGACTCACAAAAACCAAAACACCTTAACCAAGATTATGACTAAACCAAGGATGTATAAGGCATCTCCAAAGAGGTGCAAATCAGTCCTCACAAGATTCAGAACCACCCCAAAGATAGCTCCAAGAAAGGAAAGTTTCATTAGATACAAATGGGGTACAACCCACATTTCTGTCTGACCATATCCCTATACATATCAGTCAAAGCAGATTTAAAGACAACGAGTATTTCTAAAGATAAAGAAGATCATTTTGCAATGATAAAAAGGTCATTTAAACAAGAAGACATAATAATTAATTTTATTTATTTATTTATTTTGAGACAGGGTCTCTCTCTGTCACCCAGGCAAAATATAGTGGCATGATCTCAGCTCCACCTCTCAGGTGCAAACTCCACCTCCCAGGCTCAAGCTATCCTCCCACCTCAGCCTCCCAGGTAGCTGGGACTACAGGCATGCACCACCATGCCTAGCTAATTTTTAAATTTTTTTCTATATATGGGGTCTTGCCATGTTTCCCAGGCTCAAGCAACCCACCGGCCTCAGCCTCCCAAAGTGCTGGGATTACAGGGGTGAGCCACTGTGCCCAGCCAAGAAGACGTAACAATTCTAAGTGCATGTGCATCTCATAACAGCTTCAAGGTATATGAAAGCAAAACGTTGATAAAAGAGAAATAGATCTCCAGGCATCCTTGGAGGTTTTAATGCTTCTCTTTCAGTGTGTTATGGGATAAGAAGACAAAATATCAATAAGGTTATAGAAGATTTGCATAGGCTGGGCGCAGTGGCTCACGCCTGTAATCCCAACACTTTGGGAGGCCGAGGCAGGCGGATCACCTGAGGTCTGGAGTTTGAGACCAACCTGACCAAAATGGAGAAACCCCGTCTCTACTAAAAATACAAAATTAGGCGGACATGATGGCACATGCCTGTAATCCTAGCTACTCGGGAGGCTGAGGCAGGAGAATCGCTTGAACCTGGGAGGCGGAGGGTGCAGTGAGCCGAGATTGTGCCACTGCACTCCAGCCTGGGCAACAAGAGTGAAACTCCGTCTCAAAAAAAAAGAAAAGATTTGGATAACACTCTCATCATTTTGACTTGATTTACATGTTTAGATAATCTAATAATTGCAGAGTATACATTCTTTATAAGTTCTTTCCACTGATCAAGATATGCTTTATGCTGCTGCATTATATATTCAATTTAAAAATAATATCATTTACAAAAGTATCAAAATATAAAATACCTAGGAATAAAAAATTAACTTCTAAAAATTTTTTTAAATTTTTTTGTTTTTTAGACATAGTCTAGCTCTGTGGCCCAGGCTGGAGTGCACTGGCATGATCTTGGCTCACTGCAACCTCTGCCTCCCGGGTTCACGCCATTCTCCTGTCTCAGCCTCCCGAGTAGCTGGGATTACAGGCGCCTGCCACCACACCCAGCTAATTTTTGTATTTTTAGTAGAGACGGGGTTTCACCATGTTAGCCAGGATGGTCTCGATCTCCTGACCTCGTGATCCACCCACCTCGGCGTCCCAAAGTGCTGGGACTACAGGCATGAGCCACCACACCCGGCTGGAATAAAAAATTTAATCAACAATGTGCAGAACCTGCACACTGAAGAACATTAAATATTACAGTGAGAAATTAAAGACCTAAATAAATGGAGTGGTAAATTGTGTTCATGGATTGGAAGCATCCATCTTATTAAGATGTCAACTCTCTTGATATTGGCTCATAGAGCCAAAGCCATCCCAACCAAAATCCTAGCAGAATTATTTAAATAGAAAGGAGCGAGTTGATTGTAAAGCTTATATGAAGTTGCAAAGAATCTAGAACAGCTGAAATAATTTTGAGAAGGACAAAGTTGGGAGACTTCAACACTTGATTTCAAAAATTATTAAAAGCACTTTAGGAGTCTGAGGCAGGAGGACTGCTTGAGCCCTGGAGTTCAAGACCAGCCTAGACAACATAGTGAGACCCTGTCTCTACAAAAAATAAAAAATTAGGCCGGGCACAGTGGCTCAAGCCTGTAATCCCAGCACTTTGGGAGGCCGAGATGGGCGGATCACGAGGTCAGGAGATCAAGACCATCCTGGCTAACTCGGTGAAACCCCATCTCTACTAAAAATACAAAAATTAGCCGGGCGTGGTGGCAGGCGCCTGTAGTCCCAGCTACTCAGGAGGCTGAGGCAGGAGAATAGTGCGAAGTCGGGAGGCAGAGCTTGCAGTGAGCCAAGATAGCGCCACTGAACTCCAGCCTGGGCGACTGAGCAAGACTCTGTCTCAAAAATAACATAACAACATAATATAACATAACATAACATAACATAACATAACATAACATAACATAACATAACAAAAAAATAATAAAAATAAAAAAAATAGCCAGGCATGGTGGCACATACCTGTGGTCCCAGCTACTCAGGAAGTTAAGGTGGGAGGATTTCTTGAGCCCAGGAGTGAGCCCTGATCACACCACTTGCACACCAGCCTGGGTGACAGAGCAAGACCCTGATCTCAAAAAAATAAAATAAAATAAAATAAAATAACTAAAAAACTACAGTCATCAAAACTGTGATACTATTGTAAGTAGATCAATGGAATCCAGAAATAGACCCACACATACACAGTGAATTTGGTTTTTACAAAGGTGCCAGGGAAATTCAATGGGGAAATTGATAGGCCAACAAATATGACTAGAACAACTAGATATTTGGAAAAATTATAATTTTATATTACATTTATATTACAATTTTAAGCCTATGTTATCCATGTTCTGGGAAATAAATTATATATCTGTTACTCCTATACAGTTTTCTCAAGCCACAGGAGTATTATTTATTAAGTAAGCTTTGTTAAGGGGCTGCCATAACATTGTGGACACCAGGGTATCATTTAGAAAACAGTTTAAATTTATTAAATAATGCTTTATATTCTGGATGATATAATACAAATGGCCTTCTGTTTTTAGTTCCTCCACTTACATTCATGATAGAAGTGACTAATTCCATTTATGACCAATATTACGTATTTGTGAGACTGCAAGCAGGTGTGGAAATACAGGTGTTACCTCCTCACAAAATGAAATTTCACAAACAAATAGCTAAATTGATTGAAAGAATTAATAGATCCACTGTAGTTTATTTCTAAAGCATCTTTCTCCTGACCTCTTCCAGGAGGTTGGGGGGTGGGACTGAAAGTTCCAATCCTCTAATCCTGCCTCTGTCTTTGGGGTGACTAGCCCCCATCCTAAAGCTGCATAGGAGTTGCCAGCCATCAGTCAACTAATTAGCATGCAAAAGTATATTTATCGCTTCAGAGAGTCCAAGGATTTTAGGAGTTATATGCCAGGAAGTGGAAGACCAAATATATATTTCACAATATTCAGTGACTAATGAAGATTAATCAAAAAGGAAGTTCCTGCTCTAGCAAACTAAAATGTAAATGTAATTTAGTTCTGAAAGCCTTTTCTACCACAGATTGTGTTTTGAGAGTGGTTTCTTGAGGAGAAAAGATCAGGCTGCTGTATGATTCTGACTCCCAGATCAAGGGGGCTTTGTAATTGGGTCAAGCTTGGTATTCCCCAAGGAGTTCCTGTCTTCAAAAGGGCCTATTGATACCAGAGGGTAAAGTTGCAGCTGGAGTAACAGCACAGTTTCTTTCTTATCATTCCAACAATCCAGGAAGGTCTCCCAATGCTGGGACAAAAGCTCCCACCATGAAAGACGTGTTTTCTCTTCCATATAGTCAGAGACACACCATAAACTCTCTCTCTCTCTCTTTCCTGCCACCCTATTTTCGCAGTGTTTTTCCTGCTCTGGTCTGTGCAGTCAGTGACACTTCCATTACTATAATGTTACTTGACATGTTCAGGTTACTGGAGGAATGATTGGATTACATTCTCTTTACAGTTGCCCTTCAGTATCTGTTAGTGATTGATTCTAGGAGCCCCCTTTGGATAGCAAAATCCATGGATGCCCAACTCCCTTATATAAAATGGCGTAGTAGCTGGGGGTGGTGGTGCATACCTGTAATCCCACTTACTCAGGAGGCTGAGGCAGGAGGACTGCTGGAGCCCAGAAGTTTGAGACCAGCCTAGGCAACAATAGTAAGACCCTGTCTCAGAAAACAAAAAAAAAAAAAAAAAAAGGGAGAAAGAGAATGAGAGAAAATGGGGGAGTATTTGCATATAACCTATGCACATCATCTTGTATACTTTACATCATCTTCAGATTACTTTTAATAGCCAATATAATATCAATGTTATATAAATACTTGTTATACTGTATTTTAAAATTTGTATTATTTTTATTGTTGTATTTTTCTTTTACCAAATATATTTTTCTTTTACCAAATCCCCAGCTGGTTAAATCTGAAGATGCGGAACCCACAGGTAGGAAGAGACAACTGTAATTAAATAACATGCCTGAGGATACACACTTTTAACACTAACACTGTCATTACAGCTTGCTTCTTTCTTTCCTTCCTTCCTTCCTTCCTTCCTCTTTCTTTTCTTTTCTCCTTCCTTCCTTCCTTCCTCTTTCTTTTCTTTTCTCCTTCCTTCCTTCCTTCCTTCCTTCCTTCCTTTCTTTCTTTTGTCTTTCTTGCTTTCTTGCTCTCTCTGTCTCTTTCTTTCTTTCTTTTTTTTTTTTTTGAGACGGAGTCTCGCTCTGTCACCCAGGCTGGAGTGCAGTGGTCGGATCTCAGCTCACTGCAAGCTCCGCCTCCCGAGTTTAAGCCATTCTCCTGCCTCAGCCTCCCGAGTAGTTGGGACTACAGGCGCCTGCCACCTCGCCCGGCTAGCTTTTTTGTATTTTTTAGTAGAGAAGGGGTTTCATCATGTTAGCCAGGATGGTCTTGATCTCCTGACCTTGTGATCGGCCCGTCTCGGCCTCCCAATCTTTCTTTCTTTTCTTTTCTTTCCTTCTTTCTCCTTCCTCTCTTTTTTCCTTCCTTCCTTCCTTCCTTCCTTCCTTCCTTCCTTCCTTCCGTCCCTCCCTCCCTCCCTCCCTCCCTCCTTCTCTCCCTCCATCTTTTTGTCTTTCTTTTTCTTTCTTGTTTTGAGACCAAGTCTTGCTCTGTTACTCAGGCTGAAGTGCACTGGCATGATGTTGGCTCACTTCAATCTCTGCCTCCCAGGTTCAAGCAATTCTCATGCCTCAGCCTCCTGAGTAGCTGGGGCTACAGGCATGTGCCACCATGCCCAGCTATTTTTGTATTTTTTTTTTTTTTTAGTTGAGACATGGTTTCACCATGTCTCATGTTGGCCAGCCTGGGCTGGAACTCCTGATCTCAAGTGATTCGCCCACCTCAGCCTCTGAAAGTGCTGGGATTACAAGCGTGAGTCACTGTGCCCGGCCTGCAGGTTACTTTCTAAGGCCTCCTACTACCTGTTACAAATGATCTCTCAGGAAGGATAACATTTGCAAGTGGGTCATCTCAACCATTTTGTGTTGATTCTTAATTTGCTATTTTATGGAGCATGTACCAAGGGCCAAGCTAAGTGCTTTATCCACATTTTTCTAATGTAATCCCTATGACACATTCTCAAATAGATACTTCTACTTCTCCATTTTACAATTAACTTACTTTGGGTCAGAGAATTAGGTGATAATAGAGCTGGATTTCAAAAGTAGATCTGCCACACTGGAAAAAAGCCTTATGAATACAGTGAATGTCGAAAGTCTTCACCTGAAGGTATCACCAACCTCTTTCAGCATCAAAATTCCACAATGGAGAAAGGCCTTAAAAAAACAAACAAGTGGAAAAAAAAAAAAAAAAAAAAGATGATCTGAGCTCAGAGGGTGACAATCCTGACCTCATCCCAAATCCTATGTATCTTTTTTGTTACTCTCTTTGTATTTTCTATCACTTGGTTAATCTATCTATCACTATATCTATCACTATAGTTAATCTAGGCAGAAAAACTATATTAGGCAGCATAGGATGAGATACAGCAAAATGCAAGAAACTGCTTTGCCTTTGGGGAGAGTTTCATCTTGTTAAGATTTAGTTAAGCAGTGGGTCTCATTATGTTGCCCAAGCTGGTCTCAAACGCCTGACCTCAAGTGAGCCTTCTGCCTGAGTCTTCCGAAGTGCTGAGATTATAGGTGTAAACCACTATGCCCAGCCAAGCAGTGGCTTGGCTTTTCTTTTCTTTTCTGAGATGGAGTTTCACTCTTGTTGCCCAGGCTGGAGTGCAATGGCACGATCTTGGCTTACCACAACCTCTGCTTCCTGGGTTCAAGCAATTCTCCTGCCTCAGCCTCCCAAGTAGCTGGGATTACAAGCATGCACCATCACACCCAGCTAATTTTTGTATTTTTAGTAGAGATGGGGTTTCTCCATGTTGATCAGGCTGGTCTCAAACTCCCGACCTCAGGTGATCTGCCCACCTCAGCCTCCCAAAGTTCTGGGATTACAGGTGTGAGCCACTGCGCCAGGCCAAGCCATGGTTTTCAATTTAAGATACATACTAGAATCATCTGTGAAACTGTTTTTTTTTCTTTTTTTCATTTTGGAGACAGGGTTTTGCTCTGTCATCTGGGCTAGAGTGCGGTGGCATGTTCATGGCTCACTGTAACCTCAAACTCTTGGGCTCAAGTGATCCTCCTGCCTTGGCCTCCCAAAGTGTTGGGATTACACGTGTGAGCCATTGTGCCTGGCCTATCTGTGGAACTTTAATAAATACTGATGACAGAAATTCTGATTTAATTGGTCTGGGCTGAAGGCTGGGCAACAGGACTTTTCAAAACGTCCCAGGTATTCTAATGTGCAACCAAGGCTGAGAACCAGGGTGAAGGTAGAAAGAAGATGGTAGAAAGAATATCCTCAAATGAAAAAACATTAGAGCAACTACAATGTACAAAATGGCATATTTTGAAATATATTTATTTCTGTGAAGGTTATCATAATTGAAATTGAGTCATTCATGTTAAAAAAAACAAAACAACAAAACAACCTGGACAAATAGAGCCAGGGAAGGCTATGAAGAGAGGATTCTCATGCATGTATACCTGATAAAAACTATCATAAAAGATTCTGCAAATAATATAACATTGCACAAAGGCCATCATAATGTTACACAAAAAATATTTTTGCAAGGACATCTACCCAGTAACTGCCTGTCTAGCCCAGACTGGCATCACCCTTGTTATTGATCTTTGCACCCAAGGATAATTATTTCAAAGCAATTATATAACCTCCTCATTTTTTTCCTTTAAAAAATCTTTGTCTTTCTTTACCTCCCTGAACACACACATAGTTTACTATGGCATGCATACTGCTGTTGCAATGCTCTCTTCCCACATAAACATCATTTTCTTTTAGAGAGTCTCTCTCTGTTTGTTATTTAGGTTGACATTCCTTACCTCCTTCCACAAAAGACATGATGTGGCTAAAAAACTATTGGGTACAGAATGAATTCCAGTGAAGAGCACAGAGTTTGAGGTACTCATCGAATAGGCCAAAGAGGGGCTAGGACATGTGAGGTTGGTATTGAAATAATTCAGGTACATTTTTATTTCTCCGGTTTCGGTTTGCAAGGCAGCAGTGGCAGATTTTAGAAAAAAATAGTTCTTAGAAAAGAGCTGATTGGTCCAGGTACTGTTTCTAGGTGACTAGTCCAAGAACTGTTTCCAGGCGATTGATTGGTCCAGAAGCTGTTTCCAGGCTGCCTAGCCAGTAGATTGCCTTGTCTCCAAGGGTTACTCAATCTACAAAGTGATAACAGGTCTCCAAGGCTTGTGCGGAATTATAATTTTTCCCAGTACATAAGCTTATTGAAGAAAATACCAGTATTTTAACGATGACTCATAGGCACACTGTACATTTCTTTGATCCATCTTTCCTAAGGGTTATGCATTGCTTATAATGCAGAAGCTTTCTAAATGATTTTTTCACAAGTCAAGGAGTGGCTGGAGCTATTCTATGAAAAATTTATAGCTGTTAAAACAGCAACTTTAAACTATTTCGTACAGTTCAACTGTTAGACTATTTCCAGTCTTTTCTTTCCCCTTCTCAAGAATAGATGAAGCTGTTCTCAGTTTAATATCAGAAGAGAAAGAATGATGTAAACAATGATGGTATAATAATACATGAAGAAAACCAAATAAAAGGGTAAAATCACTGCAATCCTATAATCTTAATACTTAACAATTTTTATTTTCATGTGGTTTTCTTCTAACCTAAGGTCAATATTATTTGGACAATGATATACATAAAATTTAAGGCTTAACTGTCAACCGTATGTTTAAAAGTACTTTCAGTGCCAGGTGCAGTGGCTCACATCTATAATCCCAGCACTTTGGGAGGCTGAGGTGGGAGAATTACTTGAGGCCAGGAGTTGGAGGCCAGCTTGGCCAACATGGTGAAACCCCATCTCTACTAAAAATACGAAAATTAGCCAGGCGTGTTGGCACGTGCGTGCCTGTAATTCCAGCTTCTTGGGAGGCTGAGGCATGAGAATCGCTTGAACTCGGGAAGCAGAGGTTGCAGTGTGACAAGATCACACCACTACACTCCAGCCTGGGCGACAGAATGAGACTCCATCTCAAAAAAAAAAGAGAGAGATTTTTAGTTGATTTTATAGTGGCTAACCACATTTTTTTTTTTTAAAGCATGATATAACATGATTTGTGAGCAAATTTAATGTTTTTATCTTCAGATTCAATGAATCTTTTGAGCAGCACATACACATATGCTGGACATTCATTTTACCAATTATCTCATTAAAAAACAACAAACATTTGTGGAGAAGCCCTATTATGGCAGGCTGTGAGATAAGGACTGGAAATATGGCTGGGACGAAAACAGACAGAATCCTCTTTCTCTAGAAGGGAAAAATAGGCTATAACAATCACAGCAAACACAAAATGGTTGTTGTTTCATGTGCTTTGTGTGTATAAACTCATTTAGCTCTCCTAACAACCCCATGAAGTAGGTGCTATCATTATCTCCATTTTACAGGTGAGGGAACCAGTGCACAGAAAGGTGAGGTAACCTGATGAGGCTACACAGCTAGAGAGCATGAGAGCTAGGATTTGAACCCAGGCATGTGGCTCCACAGGCTACATGCTTAACTGCTGTGCTGTTCTTTCTATAATTAGCTCCTCTATTCTATGTATTCTGGTGACACAAGGAACCAAAAGTTTTCCTTTTCCTTTCGCAAATATTTTCAGTTTTTGCTTCAAATATTTAACTATTTGAAAGCTAGGGCCAGGCATGGTGGCTCTTGTCTGTACTCCTAGCACTTTGGGAGGCCCAGGTGGGAGGATCACTTGAGCTCAGGAGTTTGAGGCCAGCCTGGGAAACACAGTGAGACCTGGTCTCTACAAAAAATTGAAGAAGCTAGCTGGGTGCAGTGGCACGCACCTGTAGTTCCAGCTACTGGGG